GGCCAGTCGCGGCCAATGTAACGATGCCAGCGCCTGCGTCACGCCCTTGGACTAGTGCAGGCTGCTGGCATTTTAGCTGCACACCTCTCCAGAAAGCGCGGCCTGAAATGCCATGTTACTCCAATAGTCCAAAAGCATCCCACAGGTTGGAGAGTGGCAAGGCTGATCGAGTCTGCGGAGACTCGTGGCTGAAGTGACCACGGCTCAGGTGATCAGCTCTCCAATTGTCTTGCGAAGACAGGCGGTACGGTGTGAGCCTCGACTGGGAAAATTGTAGGAGAACATTAAGAATTTGCAGGACCCTGGTTGCTGGAATACACGTGGTAAACCCGTGACAAAGGATTCCCTCAGCGGATTGGTTGTCCAGTCCACTAACTATCTCAAATTGGGAAGGGTGGTGTGCGATTTGGATCAACAACATCAATGTCAGCACTTGAGCTGCAAGCTCTAATGAGGCTATCAGGCGTTGGGGCGGGTGGTCCGCCAGCCAGGAGGGCAAGTCCTTTGGGGTACCTTGGTAAGCACACCATGAGGTGAGCCCGCTTGGGAACTCGATCCATGCTCCAAGTCCAAAAGAAGCTTCGTCAGCGCAGGCATCGGCAGCGGCCTTGATCTGAAAGCGAGGAATGAGGGATAGGCTGATGGACATGTCTGACATGAGAATGACGGAGTGCATGGCCTGGAGAAGGGACACGTCATCAGGAAGTAGCTTAACCAAAATTGGACCGGGTGTTGATGAACGAGCACCATGCGTGCTGCAGGTGACCACAGTGCGCAGTGAGGGTAGTCAGAGATGCGCAGTCAGCGGCCTGAACTGTACCAACTCGTTGAAGTTTGGAGCCTTGTGGGATAAATGGTGCGTTTAGAGGCACTGACGTGGTGAAGGAGTCAGTGAGACTGCCCAACAAGTTTCTCAACGTCGGTTGCTGAAGGTGCACCAGTTGGACACCCTGCTTGCGAAGAAGAGTGTACAAGGGACCGAGGTACCAACGCAAAACATGGACATGCTCTGACAGCCAAAGGAGATTGCCTGCGAGCTGCTCCAAAGCTTTTCGGGAAACCCGCTTGGAGGATGTAACGTGGACGAGGAGGTCAACAATGCGTTTGACTTTGGCCGGGGGAACGGAAACCAGGTCCTGGAAGGAATCTATCTGCCAACCTATCCAACTGACGGAAGAGCTGAATTGGAGCTTGGACCAGCTGATAGGGACTGAAAGGTAATGGAGGGTGGCCAACACGATGGCGGACTGCAGAAGAGCGGTTGGTGAATCAAAGAGGAAGAGAAAGTCGTCGACGTAGAGGACGGCAGTATGACGACAATAAAGGACTCGGTGCAGCAGTCGAAGGAGAGCCCCCCCCGAGTCTGGACCAATACCATGCGGAGAAGGTCCCCCCCAAAGTGCGTGACATTGTAGGTGTACCAGTATTCACGGCCGGCGGTCCGATATGAGAACGCTAAGTAACCCTGATCCTGCTCATGAACACGTATACGCTTGTGTGCGGCTTTGATGTCGAGGGACAAGAGGGTGGTCTGTTGTGCGTGACCCAGGGTGTGAGCGGAGCGAAGATCAGCCAGGCTTGGGTTGAAAGTCTTCTCAGGAATGGAAGCGGCTGCCGCTGTGTTGACCCCGCACACCGAACTATCCAGGACTAGGCGCGGATTGCGCGTTGGATGGGTGGCCACTGCAAGTCGACCTACAGCTACACGGGTACCCCACCTGGCCTTGATTTCTTGCAGACCGCCGGGGATGTGGGTAACATAACCATCTTCTATCTCGGTTTGGATGAGTTGCCCTACAAGTTCGGGGGATTGTTCAGCTGAAGACCAATTGCAATCAGCCAAGGTGAAATCTGAGGCAGCCATCCGGGCTGACTCGAGGTCCTTAGTGGCGTCGGTCTTCAAAGGCCAAGAGCCGCTGGGAGGCAAAGGGCCATCGGTTCCCAGCCGAACCCCTGATTTGAGCAGGTCAAACAAGGCGACATCATTGTCCTCGGCTATAGGGATGCCAATGACTGGAATGCCTGAAGGCGGAAAGGTTGGCCTACGGGAATGGATATGTCAGGGTCTAGACCTTGGCTTTGGATGAATGTGTGAAATGCATCCAAAACATGCGGAGACAGGGTGGACAATTCCCGCGTAAAAGGGTCATAGGGGGGTTCGGACTTAAGTGCCGTAGTCAGAGCGTGGACGATGTCCTTACTTAAGAACAAACCCAGCAAGCGATCCCGGAGCGGCTTGAATACATCCGCACAGAATGGGAGCGGCCACTCCGCACTACTGTGGAGCCCGCCACCATCTGGAATGTAAGAACCTCGGTGGGGTGGGTGTGGGGGGAGCGAAGTCCAAAGGCTGTCCACACTGAGAGGACTGGCTTTGTCTGGCAGTGGGGGCAGGAGAGCTTGCACCACATGTGTGGCGATCACTTGTGGGCATGTGGTCGTAAACACATGAAGACCACCTCCAGGGGAAATATGTTCACAGGGGCAAGAGCAAGGCCGGTGGGCGGAGCGGATCCGGATGGAAGTGGAACGAAAGCGCCGCACCGGGGTGGGCTGCTCGGTGCCAGTGGGATCCCAGTGGCAAGGTGCTATCACGGCTTCGAACGCTAGGAAAGAATTCATGGCTCTCACGGTTTCAGGCTCCTCCCAAGAGCTAGCCCCTAGTGGTTGGTCAAACGAAACTGTCGCCCCATGTAGGTGTGCAACATGCAAAATGTGCAACGTGCGGGATAACACGGTAGGGCTGTCGGTGGAACCTGCGATGTTCGTTTCGGCCGACGTAGCCAGGTAACCCGTGCTTGCGTGCCAATACACTACTACCCCTGTTCTGGCTAGGGAAAGGAGTTTGTAAAAATGTCTATCCTGCAGGATGGCGGAGCCTTGCAGTGGCCAAAGGTCTGCATCTTTGAGAAAAACGTAGCCTTGGCTGGCGGCAGCTGTTGAGAGCGGCGCATCGGGTCCCTCACATAATTCAAGAATAACATTACGTGAAACAGGTTGGCTTGGGCAGGCATCAATGCGAATGAGGGCTTGCAACTCAGAAAAGGACTCTTCTAGGGGCGGCTTAGATTTGGCACTAGATACGCACACAGGGATTTGGACGAGTGGTGGTGAAACAGTGTGCGTCGGAGCCAATGACTCGGAAAAACTGTTTTGTTCTTTAGGGAGCGGAAGAAAACTGACAAAATTGTGGGAAGGTGGAAAAGGCTCAAAACCTGGAGCAGGTGCTGAGAGGTCATTCCCGGTGGGTGGTGGCTCACAGAGTCAGTTCTTCGGCTGAAACGGCTGAGCGTGGTCCCGGGCGGCATGGTTCTTGAGGCATGGTTTGGAGCCGACAAGGACGGGGCAATCGTGGCTGAACTTGCAGCCTGCACCATAACTGCACCTGGCGGACGTGTGGAACCGCAAGCAAAACTTCTTGTCGCCGTGGCTGGCAGCCCAAGAAGAAGGCCATGGTGTCGATGGGGCCTTCTGGTCGGTGCCCTTGCTTTTACCTTTACTGGGCCCCTTATCCTTATGCTTGCCTTATCTTGCCTTTACCCTTAGGATGTGGGAGAGGTTGGATGGCACGCGGTCTGGCCATCATGTGGACATCCATCAGGTTGCGGGTCTCAACAACTTCTATAATGGCATTTTCCATGTCCCAAGACTTTTCATTGCAAAGTCGGAAAATAGTACTCCAAAGGTCCCTGTCTGCTTGCTGGGCTTCCTTCATGTTGGGGGGGCGAAGACCATCGGACGGTTTGGCGGTGTAGAGTTTCATGAAAGCCTGGTCATAAGACTTCATTGCTGCCAGGTGACATACCTGGGCGAGGGCGAACGCATTTCGCCGAACTTCAAACATGGTAGCTAAGGCCCACGGGGCTGCGGAGACATCGGAATCCTCGACTTCCAATGCCGTATCGAAAACCAAGAGGCCTTCGATGCGTTGCCGTTTGCGGCCACGTTCATTCAGATCGATAGCCTTTGATTCGGAAAGTAACTCGCGCCATGGCAGCCACTGGTAACAATTTCGCTCCTTCTGCTGGAGGATTGTGCTTAGCAAACGGACACACGGTGTAGAACTAGTGGTCAACAATTCAGAAGGGTACTTGTGGGAAAACTCTTTTTTGAGGCGAACGAACTCTGAGTCCCGAACTCTCTTAGGGGGTAGTTCAGCCCACGCAAGCTGCAGAAGCTGGTTGGATTCCACTGGTTCAGAGCCCTCGGGGGGGGGCGGTGACCTCAGAAACATATTGCCTGTCGGAAATGCGGTGGTGTAGCAGTCGAACCGAGGCAGCCTGGGGAGAGGATTTCCAAGCATCGTCGCCGTCGCTTGGCTGCAGCAATTTCTGAGTGAACGATTCGAGAGCGTCCGAGTCGACAAAAGCAAAGCGAAACAAATCTGCTGAATGAAAACCTTGGTGTTTCAGGTGGTCTTGAATCCATTCTGGGACATGACAGGAGACCATGGTGTGGACAAATTCCGCATCGAGCGGATGCACTTCTGGAGCGTCCATGTTTTGGGACTTGGGAACTTCGTGTAAGGGGAGGGGATGCCAGCTAGAGCCGAGACACTCCGAATTTCGACAAACAAATAACGCCCAAAGTACCTCGGGAGCCCAGCTGAGGCCAGGTGTCAACTTGTCACTGAGTCTCTTGGTCCACAAAAAAATCAAAAGGTGTGTACGGAAGAGAACGGTCGTCCGAGCATCCGGTTGGAAAATAACAGTGTCGTATAATTGGTAGCAGAATGTATAACAACCAATGCAGAAACCACGACTGGAATAGGCTAGAAACTAAACGTTTCTTACCATCTCTGCCCTCAACTAAGGAGAGAGCTGAAAATCAAAATTGCAATTGTTTGGTGACCCATTTTTAACTACATCCTCTGCGCAGGCATTATTCGAAATCCGAAGGAATAGAGGTGGCCAGGGATTTCTCCTGGCATCCAAGTTTCAGTCCACAGGCTGGCCTCCATGCGTCTCCATTGAAGATTGATACGTGTGCAATCTTGGAGCGCGGGTTTAAAATAAATTCATTGGGATTGCTGGGGTCGTTGAAAGGATCCCCCTCTTTGTCCTCCCAAGCTTGTGGTGTGGTTGGGACGGAACGGGTCCGTGGGGATCTAGAAGTGTCAGAAACTGAAGAAGGACCTGATTCGGATTCGGAAACATCTGCGGCCACGCCTTCAGGGTTGGAGCTTGGTTCGCAAGGGCTCCACAAAAAAGGCGGCCAGTCAATGTCAGGAGGCGCGGTACCAAAAGCTTTTGCGTCCACGGGGGACTTGCCCCCTCTAGCCATCGGCACCATAGGGCGCCAGCCCTTGCGGATTTCCGACGCTATCCGCACTTGGAGTCGCAGTTGGGACAAAGTATCATCTCTTGCATACCGCTTTGTTTGTGACACGTTTGCATGGTGTCCTTGTTCGATGATCCAGTGCTCGGGGAGATCGAGTGATCGGCCCGCGTGGATCAAAGAGGATTTGCAGCTGTGCACTGTGATCGTGTGCAATTCAGGACCTGAATAAGCTGGGCACATAAGGCTGTGAGTGCCGAGTTGCCTCAGTAGAACAGCCGCCTTGTAGAAGATAAAAGGCCGCAGGCCAAAGCAGCTGCGGCGGAAGGGTGGCCAGCTTTGGTCAGCTCACTGAAGCAACGGATCACCCCTTGCTCTAAAGAAAATGAATTTAAGGGAGTCCGTTGAAGGTCTTGAAACCGCATGCCGGACCAAAATAAAAACAAAAAGTTACCAGCTTGAAGAATGGTTGACGGAGGGCATGCATGAGACATCACTATGCGTTCAAGACCAACTTCGAAATGGAAAGGGAGAGGAAACACTTCACGTGGATTTCGGGGCCTCCTTTCTGACGCAAAAAAGGCTGAAATAGACGGTGACCAAAGAAACTCTTTCAGGGGGTCGATCTCAGCATATTTAGCGATAAACCGTAAAGACTTGATGAGGATGAGGGGGTTGATGGATCCTTTATCTTTCTTGATAGAGGCCTCGTACGCGAAGTCAAGAAAAACACTAGGTTGAACTTGTGCGGGGTGCAAACCAAAAGGGGAGCACCACTCACAAAAAGCGAGCCAGACCTGAAAATGCCGTTTCAGGGAGAGTGGGCTGAATTTCTTGATAATACTCTGAATGTGAACTGCTCTATGTTTGCTGGCTACCGTATTTAGATAGACTCTGCTGAAGGGACCGAGAAAAGTAATAATCTTAGCCCACTCGGATTGAAGAACGGACATCTTGGAGGCTTCTTGCTGCTGAGTTGTAGAAGGTGCTGCAGAGCGATGGTGCCGGATCATCTTGAACAAAGGAGCCGACCTGAAAGGAGAAACTAATGAAGATGAAGCCAAAGGCGGCCCGCTGCTGTCTCCAGAGAGCAGGTCCGGCGTCAAGGCCGCTGCGCTTTGGCCAGGTGGGATCACAAAGTGGTACTTTGGCTTGGGCAGCAAAAGCTTTCGTGGCTGTTCCTCTGCATGAGCAGAAAAATTGGATCTGGGGTGGTCCCTGTGCAGCAAGAAGTGAGGAAGTTCTTCATCAGGAGGGTGCATCCATTTTCTTTTCGGCAGCAACGGCATGAACGATTTGGTAAAGAAAGGCCTAAAGGATGCAAAGCGAAAAACCTGTCCAAGAGATAGTCGACAAGACAGGTTGATCTGAAAAAGGAACCGTGTGCTGCCTGTTGATCTGAAAAAGGAACCGTGTGCTGCCTGTTGATTTGAAAAATGAACCGTGTGCTGCCTGTATGCTTGAGCCAAAATGGCTACGGAAAATTGCTTTGCCGACCTAGCCAACCTACAAGACCATGGCAAACCGAAAAATCGTATATATATATATATTATTACATAACAATTTACTATGGCATAATGAATAAGTATGTATACATCTTGCAATAGCTGCAGCTTGCCGAGTTCTGAGCAGTTCCAAACCCAAACCCTCCGGGACGTCGTGGACGTCCGCCGCTCCTCCGCTGTGAAGTACCGCACTTTCGGTCGCCCGCTGCTCACGGCCACGAAGTCCCCGTGCACGTGCGTGGCGATGGCCCCTGAAGGAACGGCTCGCGTGGACAGGAACGAAGTGGAACGAAGTGGTCGGTGTTCGAGCGGTTCAGGTCGGTGAGGTCCACTGGGTGATGGGAGAAGAACAAGCTGATGTGAACATGCTGAAAACACATGCACTATAGAAACAATAATATAGCTCTTACAATATGGCTTTCATAGGAAGATGTTCTTTGGGAAAAGGTCCAGACTGGTTTCTGGTTGTTTCGGGTTTCCAGGATCACGTGTGAGTCTCTCTCCTCAAGCTAATTCTGTAATTTACTCAGGACGCCTGCCTCGAGATGGCTCATAGTCCAAATAGCCCTGATTGTAGATGAAGATACCAAAGACAATGTACGTCACCATGGCAGTCTGGAATGCAAGGCACGCGGACATGTTTAGAAGGAACTGTCACTGCAAGCTGGGCATGGTCTCTACTGCCTCTACAAATCTATAACCGCCTATAATCTTCAAGCTGCACAAGTCAACGATGTCACGCATGCGTGCCTGCATCGAACACTGGAGAATGCCCAGCCATTTATCTCTGATCTCTACCTGCATGGCAATCGGATCAAAACTTCAGCATGTGAAAGTTGATGTCTTCAGAATTATGCTGAACTATCTGATCAGCATATGGATCAGCCTTTTTGGTCCGAATTGAACCCACCCAAGCGCTTCCAAAGAATCCCACCGGCATCCGACCCCTGCAGCTCTGCTCTCCCTCAGTGTCCCAAACAAACAAGAAAACAAACAAAGCAAAGAAAAGGAACGACAAAAAATAAACAAAACGAACCTGAATAGTTGAATAAAACAAAACCAACACCAACATGTTGTTGGGGCATCTTATTTTGATTTTGCATGTTGCACCTGCCTGCTGCTTTGTGCTGTAGGAGCAAAGCTTGTCAGGATCCTCGCCGCGCGGCCGGCTATCTGGAGTTTTAAAGTACCTTGGGTACAATATACCAGTTTTTTTCAAATAGGGGGGTGATGTCCCATGATACGGTATACTTGACGTCAGGTCCCAAATAAATGCATCCTAAAAATATGGTTCATCGATTGGGTTTACACTGGGTTTACTGTGTTCCCAGAGTGTGAATCTTGGTATGTGAAGTCGCGTTGAAAACTCTTGACATGCGTCATGTTTCTCTGTCTGAGCCTTTAGGCGTGACAAAGTTTACGACACAAAGTCTGGCTCTGGGATATGTCTTCCCAATGTTTCATGTGGGTTCATCATCTGGTTGGGTCAATTAAGGGGGATTGTTCCCCCCAAAAACCACAACACTTTCATCCCTAGGGATCCAAGGGCCTTCTGAGAAGGTGTTTGGGATGGGTTTGGAGGGTCCAAATACCTTCTGAGGGGCATGTGATCGCTATCACAACATTGTCATTGGTTGCAGAAGATCCTCATCGCCGACGTGATGTTCTTGAGGGATCAATAGAGGGGGCGATTTGGTAGCATACCTATTGGTTGGTCACTTGGGAATATTCCCTCCGTTATGACCCTAAGTCTCCAACATCCTCAGGTTCGGTGGTATTCGACCTGGCACACACCAAAATCACCAAACCTCAGGAGGTGGTTGGAGCCTTAGGGTGAATCAATCAGCAACTGGTGGTCATCACGATTTCGTCCGGCTGAGCAGCTTGGAGGCTCGGTTTGCACACGTCTCCGACGTCCACTTGTTCGATAACATCCCAAAAGCTGATTTCAAAGCACCAAACCAAGAGAGGTTAAGTGACCTTATAGGACCCTACTGGGGTACCTATGGGATAGTCTATAGGGTCATTCAACCTCTGTTGGAATGTCATGGACAAACCCTGTCAATTGCAGTGTCTTCGTGGATGTTTCGATTGTGACGGACCAGCAAGTTGCCCCCCCGTGTTGACCAACTTGTCATACCACCCCAAGCACTTGATCTTCTGCACCTTCCTAAAAGCATCTGCAACAGCAGTTCGAAAGACTTTCTTTCAGCGTGTCCTCTGAAGATCCATTCAAAAACCAAGGTCGATAGCGCCCCTGATTGGATGATCGTGATGATCACGAACCACAATGGGCCCCACCTGCCACAAACCATCACAAACCTGGTTTTCCACAGCAAAAAACATGGTTTTTGCATGTGAAAACCATTGTTTTTTTCATAGTTTTGAGGGCCCCTGGCACCAAAAGGTCCTTTTGTGATGCCCAAAACAGGTGGCGGCCATTGCTATAGGGTCGGTTGGCGGCTCGCTCGCACCGTGACGCCTCGCTGGCGCCCAAGAGCTCCATCCTCGGTCCGAGCCTCGGGCGTAGCGGAGAGGGTGCACTTCGTGGTCACTGAGGATGCTTTCGTGGGCATCAGAGGTTACAATGCACGTATCCAGGTTGTTTTTTGGAAGGTACGTTGTATATGGCCAACAACCACCCAAGGGCGTTTGGGTAGTTTTGTTGGACCCTCTCTGAAGGTGTGAAGATGGATTTTCCGCCCAATAACCATCCGAACTGGGTGATGACGCGAGTAGATCTTAAATATGGCAGTAAGGTAGCTTATTATTTTTACTTTTATGTTGTTGTTGTTTTTGTTGTTGTTGTTGGTAGAGACAAAGACAGCCGCCCAACATAGTTGTCACATGTTGCAAGTCAGGGATTTCAATGGGATTCTGTTGGGGATAGGGTCGAAGGTTTGGAGAGATGTTAGTAGCTGGACTTCTTGTCGTTGTGGTACTCAAGTCTTGGTTGGTCTGCTTCTTGTTTTTTGTTATGTTGTTTTGGGGGGGAGGGTCAAAAAACAACAACGGGGTTGCAGATTTTGTTTCTAGGGGGGGTAGAGACAACAACATCTTTTGGAAGGGGGGGTCCAAAAAACAACCACGGGGTTGCAGTTTTTGTCTCTAGGATGTGGTAGAGGTTCTAAGTAGAAGTTTTACAGGGTTTACTTAACCAGTTACAATAAGCATCACCAGTAGCATGACCCTCATAGGAGTTTCATAGACCCTAAGAAGGCGTTTAAATCGACCATATTGTTCCATTGGAATCCAAAAACTTCCAGGAGTCTCCAAGAAAAGACTGATTTTCAGTGCATAGATTGAGAACCGGGTTTCCACCCCCTCCGCCTCCGCACACGCCCCGCGCACTGTCCACACGTCCCGGGATGGGGAGTGTCTACCACTAGTAGTAGTAGCACCAGTACCACTACTAGTAGTAGCAGTAAAGTGCTTGTTGTCCGGTTGTTTTGGGGGGGGGGGTCAAAAAACAACGACGGGGTTGCAGAATTTGTTTCTACCCCCTTGTAGAGAAAAAGAAAGAAGATGTGGTGTAACGGGGTTGCAGTTTTTGTTTGTACCTTGTTGTTGTTGTTGTTGTTGTTAGTAGTAGTAGAAACAAAAACAGCCGCCCAACATAATTGTAACATGTGGTAACTTTGGAACTTCAAGGGGACAAGGTTAGTGATACGGTTGAAGGTTTGAGCAATTGTTGGTTCCGTAAGTAGGTGGACTTGTTGGACTTGTTTCATTGAAGTCTGGACTGGTCCGTTTTTAGTGTTTTTGAGGTGTTGTTCTGGAGGGGGGTCCAAAAAAACAACAACGGGGCTGCAGTCTTTGTTTCTAGGAGGGGGTAGAGACAACAACACCTTTTGAGGGGGGAGTCCTAGGATAAGGTAGAGATTTAAGTAGAAGTTTTAAAGCGGCTTAGCTGACCGGTTACTGTTACTACTACTACTACTACTACTACTCCTGCTACTACTACTACTACTACTACTACTACAACTACAACTACTACAACTACTACAACTACCAAGACTATTGCTACTACTACTACTACCACCACCACTACTACCACTACTACTACTACTACCACTACCACTACTACTACCACTACTACTACCACCACCACTACTACTACTACCACTACCACTACTACTACTACTACTACTACTACCACTACCACTACGACTACGACTACGACTACGACTACGACTACGACTCCTGCTGTTGCTACTACTACTACTATTACTCCCGCTACTAGTGCTACTACTACTACTACGACGACTACTACTAGTACTAGTATTACTAGACTACCACTGCTACTACTACTACTACTACTCCTCCTACGACTACTACAACAACGATACAAGGACCACCACTATACTGGTAAAAGTACTTGTTGGCTGATTGTTTTCGGGGGGGGTCCAAAAAACAACGACGGGGCTGCAGAGTTTCTTTCCACCCCCTTGTAGAGACAAAGGACCAAGATATGTTGTAGCGGGGCTGCAGTTTTTGTTTGTACCTTGTTGTTGTTGTTGGTTGTCACATGTTGCAAGTCAGGGATTTCAAAGGGACACTGTTAGGGATAGGGCCGAAGGTTTGGAGAGATGTTAGTAGCTGGACTTCTTGTCGTTGTGGTATTCAAGTCTTGGTTGGTCTGTTTCCTGTTGTTTGTTTCTTTTGACTTTTGGGGTGTTGTTCTGGAGGGGGGGGTCAAAAAACAACAACGCGGCTGCAGATTTTCTTTCCAGGGGGGGGTAGGGACAACAACATCTCTTGAGGGGAGGGGATCCAAAAAAACAACGACGGGGCTGCAGTTTTTGTCTCTAGGATGTGGTGGAGGTTCTAAGTAGAAGTTTTACAGAGGCTTAGCTGACCGGACTAGTAGTACTAGTACTACTACTACTACTGCTGCTGCTGCTGCTACTACTATTACTACTAGTATTACTAGGCTACTACTACTGCTACTACTAAGAGTATTACTACTACTACTACTACTACTACTACTACTACTACTACTACTACTACTACTACTACTACTACTAGTAGTATTACTGTATTACTATAATAGTACGAGTACTAGTAGTACTAACTAGTACTACTAGTACTACTAGTACTACTACTACTACTACGACGACTACTACTACTACGACCACTACAACAACGACCTACTAGTACTAGTACCACTAGCAATAGAACTAGCACAAGCACTACCACTACTGGTAAAAGTACATGTTGTCTGGTTGTTGTATCGGAGCTGCAGTTTTTGTTTGTACCTTGTTTGTTTGTTTGTTTGTTTGTTTGTGTTGTTGTTGTTGTTGTTGTTGTTGTTGTTTTGTTCTAGTGTGTTGTTTCCCCTTAGGATCAAGAACGTCTAGGAACCCTATTTGAGAGGTGGGTTGATTGTAGGAATGGATCCATGAGGTGCTTCTGAACGGTGCTGGAGCAGCTTGGAACGGTGTCAACCTGGACCCGGACACTCCTTCTCCTTGCTGCCCAAACAAAAATTGTACATGAAAACAAAACAGGCGCGACGTTTTCCCCATGTTCTGAGGTACAAACATGCCTAGGTCCTACTGCTGAGGGTGTCAAGGTAAAGCATTCCAAGAACCACAGCCTTTCGCTGTCTCTCTTGGAGGCCATCCATCTTAGGTTTCAGGCCATCGCACCTAGGTTGGAAGCCAGTGCTCTTAGGTTGCAGGCCATCACTCTTAGGTCTAGGTTGGAGGCCGTTGCTAGTAGGTTGGACGCTGATGCTAGTACCTTGCTAGTAGGTTGGAGGCCATTGCTAGTAGGATGGAGGCCATTGCTAGTAGGATGGAGGCCGTTGCTCTTAGGTTGGAGGCCATTGCTCTTAGGTTGAAGGCCATTGCTCTTAGGTTGGAGGCCATTGCTCTTAGGTTGGAGGCCATTGCTCTTAGGTTGGAGGCCACTGCCCTTAGGTTGGAGGACGTGGCTCTCAGGCTGGAGGCCGTTGCTCTTAGGCTAGAGGCCATGGCTCTTAGGTAGGCTGGAGGCCGTTGCTAGTTGGAGGCCATTGCTATTAGGTTGGAGGCCATCTCTAGTAGTTTGGAGGCCATTGCTATTGGGCTATTAGGTTGGAGGCCCTCTCTAGTAGTGTGGAGGCCATTGCTATTAAGGTTGGAGGCCATCGCCTCTTGTGTTTTATCTATCATATCTTACCCACCGATGGTCTTGGGTGTCGCGACGCGAGGAAGATCTTCGAGCACCGCGCTGCATTGCGAAGAGCTGGGAGCCAAGAGATCGAGGACCAGGGCCACTTCAGTTTGGCCACGTCCGCATGTACCAGGACCCCCAGTCAGGGTGGTTCATGGACACCCCGAATCACCTCTAAGGGGCTATTAATGGACACCCGAAATCCGTGGTGCTGGTATAGCTCTGAAAGGTCTCTCCAGAGTCATCAAATCGCTCATTAGATAGGGAGACCACCTCAGAGAGCTGGGCAACGACGCCCCTGGAAGGTTTGGAAAATAGGCCAGTCTACTAATCGGCCGTGTCTAGTGTACGCATTGCTGACACTGGCCACCACCTGCGTGGACAGGTACTAAACTGCAGCCCCAAGTACCCATTGTGGCAGGGTGTCTCCTTATTAACATATGCGCCCACATGGCTCTCGCAAAGCCAGAAATCGCCCCTTTCAGGTCGATTGTTGCACAAGAATCTCTTGCAACTTCGTGGAGTCTCAAGATACCTCGAACAATGGGTACAGGTACATGTTGCTGTTGGGGTCACGTCCCATTTTCTAAGGTATTTTGGAGGGTCCAGGTTGCTCAGTCGGCTTGTTTTGACCTCGTCCCTGGAATGTCCTGTAAAGCAACGCAGTGAGACATGGGCTGATGCTGAGGCGCCAAAACCCATGCATTGACTGATGCGAAGGTCAGCAACACAATCACAAATCTCATAAACAAAAAAGAAAACACACACAATTAACGAACATCCAAAAGCAGAACAGCTCGTGATCAAAAATAACATCAAACTATTCCTGAACACTCTTCACAGAACCTAACTGGCAACAGCTTGAGTAATGAAGAACAGCAGCACTTGACAGCCTGAACCCACTTGGTTCAGCTGGTACCCTTCTCCCCATCAAACGCGCCCTGTAGCGTTCCAGTGACCATGAGCCCCTCTTCAGGGGCAGCGTGTGCATGGCCAGCTCAGTGCAGCATGGCCAAGTCTACACTCAATTGCCCGCCATCTGCGCCGACCTCGGGGACAGTTTGGAGGCCATCGCTTCTAGGTTGGAGGCCTTCGTTATTCGGTTGGAGTGAGTTAAGCCTTCCCGGCAGACGGACCCCCATGGGAACTCTGAGAATTCATCCTAATGTTCGACGATGTTCGGAAGACCAACTCACTTACCTTTTTTTCAGGGTCCAGGTGGGTCTCGGCACCAGACCGGGCGTTTCAGCTTCCAGCGATGGCACCGGGCACCGGGCACCTTTCGACCTTTCCGACCCTCACCGAAACGGTTCGGCTCGGCTCGACGTTCACACGGAGCATGGGACCGCTCGCGCGGGAGTGGTGAGTGAACGAACGGTCGAACGGACGAAGGGTCACGGAGCAGGGTGCCCGGTCACGTCGCATCCACCCCGTCGGATGGGACGAGGCACACCATCCAACTCCAGCAATGGGATGTTGGTTGAGAGGGGATTGCCCAGTAAGCTTAGTGACACCTGTTGCATCCTAAGGATTTCTTCTGTGCATCCTAAGTTTTAAAGACGTGACACAAAACGTGTTCCGAAGTGGTCTCGGCATGTCCTCGTTTCGCTCGATCTGGGCTGCCGACATCAACATCGTCGCAACCTGGCAGGGGCATCAGGGGATACAACAAAAGGATACAAAAGGCGTCTCTGAATAGGTCCTGTTGGGATGAGTTTTTGTTGCCCTACAGGCCCTGCAACTCCATTCAACTCCTTTCCTTTCAAAAGATCGTTCCAGCATTCAGCTTGCAAGAATCAAACTAGTGTTAACATGTTTACCATGTTAGTCATCGAAGGACTGTGGACATCACCATCTGAGAATCACTTGATGAGCTCGGTTATAGCAGTTAGGTGGCTATTCTTCAATTCTTATTATACCCTAAGGACCCTAAGGGTCCAGGACCATCCTGAGGATGGTCTTGGAGGTGAAAGTACTTCCTGAGGGATATTTTTGGTCCCATCTTCTCCATCTTGCCTTGGTGTGCCCAGCCCTCTCCGCCAGCTCATAGGCGGTCAAACGGCGCTGGCCGCCGCCCTTGGTTGGTTGAGGGTGGGACACCAAGATGCATGCCATTGCTGGCCAGTCTATGCTTGTGAAATGGATATGCTGCAAGTTGGTTGGTTGATCCTCATGTCAAAATGAATCGTCTTTGAACATGTTTGAACCTGTCAACAACTCTTTCGTAACTATCCCTAGGTGTCGCTGGCGGACTCGTCTGCCATCGCCTCGTCGAAGGAGTGAGTGACATCGGCCTTGTTCTCCAAGAGGAGGCTTACAACTGCAGCATGCCCCTGGCTGTCAACTCGTTTTCACAACGTGAGCTGGGAGGAATTGATGGAAGTGGTCTGAGAACCAAGTGAGTGGAAAAAACAACATGACCCAGGATGACCCCCAGCCCATCCGCATGTTGTGCAAGAAGGTTCAATGTCTCCATCGCAGATCCAACTCCCTCTGCTTGAGGTTCCCAGTGCATGCAAGGCAAACCACGAACGTTCATAGGAACGTTCAGACCAAGTGAGTGTTAGATGACCCAAGTCCTTGAATCAAGTCGATCACCCACCCACCCAAGTTGGATGCGGATCCACCCCTGGTGAAGACGTGTCTTCACCATCCAGCACCCGTCCATTGACTCGGTCTGGGCAGCGGCTCCGAACGCGACGCGATAGAAATGGCCACCAAGCTACTACCCTAGGGATCCGTTTTCGTACCTCCTCAAAAGGTACTTGGACCCTCCAAACCCACCCCAATCAGAAGGTACTTGGATCCACCTAGCAGTTGTCCGAACGCTCCAAACCCCGTGGGGCTGGTGCGAACCCGACGATTTCGACGTTTGACCCCAGATCTGAGGTACTTCCTGCGGCCAAGCAGGCGACTTGTTGTTTGTAAGTGGTTCGGCATCGACACTGCTTGAAACATGCGGGCTTGCTGGAATGTGAGGAATCATCCTCTATACCAGGACCCTCCTGTCGGGGTGTCTATATTTATAGCCCCTTAGCCGTTTAGTTATATAAGGGGTGTCCATGTCTACCACCCCTTGAAGGTCCAGGTATATCTTCTCAAATCACCATGAAATGCGACTCACTTTTATGGTGTCAGCACTGTTCAGGAATGTGGAGACGCGATTGTCTGATCTCCGAAAATCTTGCGTACAAGCATGCAGTCGTCAGCCAGACGGTGCACGTGCTCAAATCCAATAGGAATTCGTACACGTGCTCCCTGACACATTCGGACAGGAAGCGGACCCACCAGAGTGGGAAGGACTTGGCCCTGAACTTCCAAAAATTTCAGTGATTTCCAGAAAGATCTCCAAGATTCTTCTCCAGATTTGCCACTCATCAGGCACTCAGCTCGGAACTCACTTTCTTCAAGACAAAGAGATTCCCGCGATCTCCTGCCGCTTCACCCGATCGATGCCCTTCGATCGACGCCCTCAGACCCAAGGCCGACCCGGACCGCGGAGTTGGAAGAGTGACACTTCTGGTCGAATCAATGGGGTCATTGGATCCCGTTTGGGCTCCTGGCCGCCCCCTCCGTCTAGGTTCGGTGGGACGGGGGTGGGTGAAGATGGATTAAGGGGGTCTAACTACCTGGTGAGGAGGTTGAAGCTGTGGGGTATGTACCTGCAACCGACTTTGTTTGTAGAACATGGCACATGACCCGAAACAACATACACGAATCGGTACCTGGTGTCTCAGGCTATACCTTATAGAAAATGGGACATGACCGGTACAACTGCCTTTACGAGCTACAAACAGGTCCACTCCAGGTATGGCTGTATTTGTCTACAAACACATACATTCAATTGTGTTTCCGATTTACCAACACGGTCGAGTCCCGGTAACCTATTATCTCCCAAATATTCCATGTAATCCTCGGATTAATCAACGGGCCCCCCCCCACCCCCTTGAAGGTCAACAAGGTCAACAAGGTCTGAGATTGGAGGGTTTGGAGATCACATCCCCCTAATAGTGGGGATGACCTGATGATGACAGGAGGAGGAGATGAGATGGGATGGAATGATGAGATCCATGAGAGCCCAAATACAAAACTAATATATTTTTGAATAATTATATTTTTCCTGGGGGGACAGGGGGTAGACTAATAGGGGGGGGGTTCAGCCAAGAAAAAAAAATATTAGAGGGTGGTGACTGTGGAAATTCATAGTTCAAATTAGTTTATTATTGGGGCCTGTAACGCTGGGTAGACTAATGGGGGGGGTTGCCTAATCCTATGTTTGCATTATGTGGAATATACCTACTATATCATATATTTATTTTATAATACATTATACTCACATTGGGCTGGGTGATTTCAAGGGTCCATGAAAGTAAATATGTCAGTCCCATGTAGGTCGTGTCTAGAGGTATTCCATAGCATGGATGCTCTGGGAGAGGCCACACGTCGCCGTGGTGTGCCGAACGAGCTCGGAAGGCTGCGAAGTGGAACATGGAACAGGACCATGCCGCCATGGTCTGCTTGCAAGCAAAAACCAACAAGCGATGGCCTCCCATCGCCCCTAGCGATGGCGATTGGAACCTAGTCGTTGTCAAAGAAAGAAACCAAAGACCATGTTCCAGCATGTTCCAGCACCCTCCGAGTCCGGTGGTTTTTGGACACCCTGAATCACCACTTTACGAGGCACACCCCGTAGGGAACCCCCACTGACCTCAACGTCTAAAACGGCACTATCTTCAGATCCATTGCAATAGGGAGGTCCCCCACTTTCACTTGCACTTTGCGCACAAATCCCGGCACCTTTACAGCACCTTCATTTAGGGGAGGTCCCTCTATACTAAAAAAACAAACCCACATGTGTTACCTCTGATCATGCTTTCCATCTCTCAAACCTCGTCGAGCTCGGAAGCGCTCTAGGAAGAGCTCGCACGCTGCCTCGGCTGAGACGAAGGTCATCGTCCAAGTAGGTCACCTGGAGCCGGGAACTGAAGCCAACCGTCAATCCCTACCAGGACCTTCCAACGATGGCCTCCAACCGCCCCTAGCGATGGCCTTGAACCTACTAGCAATGGCCTCCAACCTAATAGCGGGTTTGGGTTGCCTAGGGATCCAGTCGTACCTTCTCAGGTTTGGTACGACGGGACCACCAGCAAATAACAGTGTCGAACACATCACCTTCTGAGAAGGTATTTGGATCCCTAGGGCTATAGGTCAGTTTGACCTCACTTTTCTGGAGATGGTCATACAAAACCAATTGGCAATACTGAACAAGGTAAAATACAATGTTTTTGCTGGGTCTTTGGACTTGTAGATTGCGAATTGGCTGTGGGTCTAAACATAGGAAACCCTGGTTAACCATCGAACATTAACAAATCCCTCTACAAGGGATGTCAACCTTCCACGGTTTGTAGGGTGAGGTGTTGACCAGCCAATGAGGGCGCCCTTGAATAGCGAAAAAGGCACATGACCCTGCACTGCCAATTGATCCCTATATAATGCCTATTATGAGTAATTAATTAAAGGCGCATTTGTCTGTGCTAAGGCGTTCTTGCCCCCCGGTGTTCTTGTCCTTTTGGTGGCAATGCTCACGGGATCCACCCATGACTGGTTCCAGGGGCTTCCATAGTGAGGAGTTGCATTTGTTGATCAGGAACTCACTTCATGTTTCTCTTTTGCATGAGTCTTTATTTTGTTTCCTTGCTTTAATATCTTGTTGCGTAGGTGTTCTTCCTGTCACTTGGGCATTCTTCCCCGTTTCCCCCTCACTACAATCAGTAGTTGGGTGGACAAAGCAGTGGCAGCCTTTTCGTGGGAGGAGGACCGAATTCATATGTTCCGTGCAATCCGTGCAATCCTTTTCAGACCGTTGAAACGGGCTCAGGAGGCCCAAAATCATCTAATTTGTAGGGATCCGTTTTCGTACCTCCTCAGGTTCGGTATGACTGGACCCGAACATGGCACCCACCCCAGTCCCACCTTCTCAGAAGGCCCTTGGATCCCTAGGGTAAGGAGGCCTCCATCACCGAATAGGTTCCACAGGGAGGACCTTTTTTGGGGCGAAGTCGTTGTGCTGGAGGAAGATGGAGCATGCGCTGTGATGGAGGTGATCGGTCATGCAAAAAGAGAAAAGGCCTGCTAATGTGATGGGTGTGTGTTCTGTGGTACACCAGGAGAGTGGAATGGTCTGTGGAATGTCTAAGAGGAAGCGGCTTCATACCTGCATGAGAACAGGAGGCCTCCCCAGGATGAATCCAATCGTGAGTGTCTTTGCTGTTGAACAAATGGATAAACAAACATAAGGATCTGATCACCCTCCCAATAAACAAACCCATTACCTAAATCACGATCTACCAGTAATTGGGAAAGCTGTCCCTCTGGTGATTCATTCTGCCGAGCGGATTCACCCAACAAATTGATTTGGATTGATACCTAGAACTTCCTCTTGGGCAGAAATTTCTGCCTATTGTGCTCCAGGGCAACTTTATCCGTGCTTAGGCGTTCTTTGTGAAGACAGGCAAAGGTTTCTGCCTTTTCAACGAGGGTGGGGGAAACAAATCCTGGCATTTAACCGGATGTCACCAGCATGAATGCATCACAAAACTCCACCAAGGGCGAGCGAGCCCCCCTGCCCCTTTCCCCGTGCCGTTCGTGCCTGTAGGATGCCCGTGGCGTTCTCGGGGGCTGGGACAGGGATGAGCCCAAACAACCTGAGCGCCAGCTGGTGCTAAGGCCGTTTAGAGTGGATGAGATCGGAGTTCCGACCCACTGAGTCGGCATGACTCTGTGAGTCGATGCCTGTTTTCTGTTCAGGTCATGTCCCATTGTCTAAGGGTACGAACGAAGTCGGGTCAAGATCGGTTTTTTGGGGAGTTCATGATCATTACCAAATCGTACAATCATGGAAGTGGAACATGGCCCAATTACACAGCCCATGTTTCTCTACCAACGGGGCTTGTCCACTTGCATGTTTGTTGGAGGGTAATTGGGCAATGATTGGTGTTGGGTCTCAGCCCAGGGTCATTTGCGCAGATCGATTGCTAACTCCGTGCACCTCCAGAAAAGAACCTTTCGGCGCCATTAGTGCTAAGTGCAGTGAACAACTCCCTGTGCCAGTTTGGCATGTGTCTGAACACCTTTGTTCGGCCCCCCCCAGAGAAAACGCACACCTTTCACCGGTCGAACAGAACAATCCTTCCAAGCGAAGGTCCTCCCAGTGACGTGAAGGTCTTGAAGCGGACGCCCACCGTCGTCTTCTCGAGACCCTCCGCCTGGGGCTCGGGGCCCCGGGGACCCAGGTACAATCGTCGGACCCGTCGGGCACGCGGTGAACGAAGGACCAATGCCGCCGAAAGACCCCTTTTCAACCACACCTTTTTTTTAATGCAAATATTTGTGGCCTGGATATACATGAATCTGGAAATGGTGAACAATGATGGTCAATGGATGTCAATGGTCTATATTTCTGCAAGAAACTGTTAATGTATGTTATATTTTTCCTGAGGTATTAGCCAACTTGTGAAGATGAAAGTTGATTCTGAGACTTTGACTTCCGAATTTAAGCCTTCCAAACAACGGCATCAGCAATAGAACTCCCAACTGGAACTCCTACTAGCGATGGTCTCCAACGTAAGAGCGATGGCCTCCAACCCAAGAGCGATGGCCTCCAACCTAAGAGCCATGGCCACCGACCTTTGAGCCATGGCCTCCAACCTAAGAGAGATGGCCTGGAACCTAAGAGCGATGGCCTCCAACCTAAGAGCCATGGCCTCCAACCTAAGGGTGATGGCCTCCAGCCTAAGAGTGATGGCCTCCAACTTAAGAGCGATGGCCTCCAACCTCTCCAATGTTCCGCGCTGGGCCTGAGGAAGGTAACTTCCTCCAGGCTTCTCTTCCGCGCCCTGCTTGAAGAGAAGGAAGTCGTCGAGACGACTTACAAAAGCCTGAGAACGGCGGCCAGAGCTTGGACATTCAAAAATCACGCCAACAGCTAGCTTGGCTTGGGCAGAATATGGCAGAAAGCAACATGACTGGCTTGGTGTTTGGACAGCGCCTCTCGCTGTCCCGGCCCCAAAGGCACAATGCTGGCATCCACCCGATTGCACCTGAGGCGATTCCCCGACCGGGCGTCCACCCGTTCGTCCGACCTGGAGGGGTAAGGAGCGATGATCGGACGCAGAACCGAACGGGGCGACCCTGGCTGTACTACGAATGGAACAAGAAGCCATTAGAAACAAGAGTCCGACCTTGAGGGGTATACCACATAGGAGGGGTCACCCTATACCCTTCACTAATTTCTGAAGGGAGCGGCCATCCACATGTTTTCCAAGCGACCGTGGGTGGAGGCCATCGCAACGAGGCCGAGGCCGCACTACGCGGCCGCGCGACGGACGCGAGGCTCTGGATAGCTCCTTAGGTTTCTAACCGATCCCTCTAGGGTTCCCAAACACGACGAGTCTGGGACTGCCAGTCCGGACTGCCGAGAGTTCCGGCCAGGGGTGGTGGTTAGTTGGGGTCTGTGTGGGGCGGCAGTCCGGACTGGCAGTCCCAGACTCGTCGTGTCTGGGGTTGGTGCGGGAGGTTTGGCTGTCGGGTTGAGTTTCTGGGCCTTTCTCCTCAGTCGACCCGCTACGAATCGACTCGCGACCAGTCGGTGGACTGGCGTCTCTCAGTTCTTCAAGGTCGGGGGCGATCCAAGCAGTCGTTGTGGTGTTTCCTTGTCGAGCGATCAATATCGATGACCAAAAAGCAATATACATTCGTTGTAATTGCAGTGGACGGCACCACCTGTTTGTAGAGGAAACGGTCATCTAAGGGACCCAATTTCCACCTTCTACAATAGTCTACTTTTCTTCTCAACATCTCATGGTTCGCACTAAGCTGGTCGTCTAAGATCGTCTCATGGTGTCCCGAGGGCCGCACCCTAGAGGTGTGAACTCCAAATTCCGAGCCACTCCAGCCTGCAGTGCGTGGAAATTCCAGTCTTTAGCAATCCGTGGAACTATCCCCAATTAAACGAATACTAAAATCAAGGGGGATTTAGGGGGGGTTGGGACCAGGATGAGCAGTTCGTAAAGGGACCAGGGTCGGAGTCTACAAAAAGCTCTGACCTGGGTCGGATGTGGGACTGGGATAGGTGCCCTTGGCCGTGACAGTCGTGACAAATGGGGTGGTTGTAAGCTAGTATTCCCTAGAGATCCAAGTACCTTCTCAGAAGGTACTTGGACCTGCTGAGAAGGTACTTGGATCGTTAGGGATTGAAGGGCCAACTTATAATAAGCAAATCGTGAAACCCTATCGCTCCAACTACCTCCATTTCGAAGATGGGGTGGATTGGGTCCAACCCGGTTCAACGACCTTCGGACGTGGGCCAAAAAAAGCCCTCTAGGGATCTCTAGGGAATCAATTCCAGTCCCATGGATTGTTAGTGGAACGATCCTCTGTGACCCCGTAACCCTCCATGACCCAAGTCAGGAAGTGCCTGAAATGTCCGGCACTTCATCCAAGACTGCTCATGGTCATTCCATGTCATTCAAAGACAGGGCTGTCATCCTCACCAGTCTGAAGATCACGTTCTCATCTCATCTCAACCGACCCACCGAATCCGACCCATATACAGTTCGCTCCCCAGACCATCCATGGGACTGCCATATTTGCCGATCAGTTGGGGGTGGGTTGGGGGATCATTGTAGGCATACATTCCATACATGGATGGTCTTGACTCGAACAAACTTCGAGTACGACGTGTTCCCCGTGCTTCCAAGGTACAGGTTCCAGGTCGAGTCCAGGTCATCTCGCTGCTCGGACATGCACCAAAAGGCAAGTAGTCTTTTCACCTTTGTGGTCCCTTTGTGGTCCCTTTCCGGACTCATGTTGGAGCACACCCATGCGACTCTGCACCCATGCCCCATGCGCGGAGGCACGCGCCTGGGGGTCCAGGAACTGAAGGATGGGCTGATCCTGTCCGATGGGACCAGTCGACTCGTGTTCGCAGTCGACGACCAGGTCACGACGATACACGTTGCACAGGTCACGACGCTGCAGGTCATGACAGGGGCAGTGAGGATGCTGGTATACGTGTATAGAACAGAACGTATAGCTACGTGTTTCATCATGTCAACCCCTTTTACGACCCTATCATGTAACTATAATCATTCCATACATGCACGGTCTGGGAAGGGAAAAGACGAAACGCACACAACACCCTCAGTTTTTGTCCGGCGAAGTGGTCGACCAAGCGGGGCAGGGCGGACCAATCAGTCACATCTTTAGGAGAAACAGAAGCGAAACAAACAGTTCTTGGTACGTTCTGCTTATAAGCCATCAGTATAACGCTACTATGAGCAAGGACGGGCCGAAGACCGCGAGCGTGCGGACGCGAGGAGTTCCGGGGCGAAACTGGCCTTATAGGAACAATCAAGCTGCAATGGTTTCTTATTGATGACCCAGAGGGTTTGTGCCGTGCACGATGTGCAGACTTGGCAGCGCTGGTCAGGGATGACCCAGTAGAGCGCAAGACTTCCAGGTCCTTCCATCCCACTAGTCCCGTCCTCGAGGGGCTTTAAGAAGCCCGGTCGTCCCAGTCCCAAGATGGCAGCGCTGGTCCTCGCACGGCACGGCACGGCACACCGCGCGTCCCCGGTCCCCCCAAATCAATTCAACGACCCCCGATTTCAACGACTAGGTTGACCTCCCTTTTTGTAGTAACGTATTCTATTCTTTGCATGTGCGATGGAAAAGAACACAGACTCCTCCCGGTTGTGACCCACACACCAAATGCAAAACATGTGTCCTATGCGTTGATGTAAGGTTTAGTGATCCGTGTCCAGTGCATTCAGTGTATGTCTTTCTATGTTAAAACATTAATCTTATGATGTTGAGATGATGTCTTATCCATGTCCCAAAGTTACTTCACAACCATATATGCTTACATTGACCCCCCAAATCACCCCAAGTGATCGGCATATCTGGCAGTCCCATGTGTCGTGTCTGGTATGTCTGTGTCACTCTGCTTCTACCTGGAGTCGACCCGTTCGTACCCCAGAAAATAAGAGGCCCCAGTCGTACCTGATTTGAGTTCGGGTCACGTGCCCATTTTCTCAGGTACCTCAAGTCGGGTCTAGGTATATATCCCTAGCGCTCTAAGAACCCACCCCAAACACCTCCTCAGAAGGTATTTGGAGCATACTATAAGTTCATGTCACATGTTGAAAGTCGAGTGTCCCAAGCTGCGAAGATCGGCCCGAAGAGTAGATTTCCACCGGGGCGCGTCCACACGAGCTCCCAGTCACCACGCAACTCATCACCTCGGATGTCTGAACGAACCTACGCATTGACTGGGGTAAACTGCCAGATCAGCCAGGAAGGTGAAGATCTGGGTGTGAAATCAACATACACCAACGGAATCTTCCTGCCCTAAGGATCAAGGACCCTCAAAGGTGAAGGTTTTGAGGCTCCAAACCCCTGCTATGCAGGGTCAAAACCCTCCATAGGAGGGTCCAATGATCCTTAGGGTGATGAAACCATGTTGACATGCATTGACTCCTGAAGGGCACATAGTTTTCATGGGAACAGACTTGCAGCATCTTGCACCCAACAAAATTGATCCCCCCTCCCTTGTTGGAGCGAAGATTCAGAGATATTCCCCCAGACACTCCATGTGTGGAATAGGATAACCTCCTTTGGAGAAACACCCATGCCCAAACCATCCATTGGTCCATGTATGGAACAGTTATTACTATAAAATTGATTAAACATTACCCCATGAACATTGACCCCAATGTATTACTGACTCTTCCAATCCCATGGGTCGCGATGGACATAGCCTCAGCTTCAGGCTCGACAAAGGCTCGCTGATGGGGCTCAAGCCTTCCAGGTCGGTGAACCTGGCGAGGTCCCGAGTCGCCTTTTTGAGGTGAAAACAGACGAATCTTGACAAGTGCCTTCATTCATTCGTTGTGTCTTTCTTTTATGTTCCTTTCTTCTTTCTTCTATGCCACGGCGCCAGCATGCTGACTGGACACGACGCGTACCCACGAAGCATAACAAACTCAGCCCTTCCCAACTTCCTGCAACAGATCCACACCGCCAGATCTCAGAAATTGGTTCAAGGATGTTCAAGTGAAGATTATCGTTTGGGGTGTGAACATATGTGGTGAAACCAGTCGATGTTCCCCAATTCGTGGCATTCAAAAAATCGTGGCCAGCAGCACAGTCTCTGAACCTCCGCGTTTTGGGACTCGTCACTGCCACGTTGGGTGGTGCTGATGAGCTCCAACAACTCCTGACTCGTTGGTGCGAGGCTCGAGGCACCGAGGAGCTCCGAGCTCAGCGATCGGCGACCACTTCGTATCACCCTAAGGATCCGCACCCGAAACAAATCAAGGGTTTGGTTCGGGGCCCCCAAACCCTTGTTATAGAAGGGTTCGACCCCTTCGTTTGGGTTCGGGTCCAAGGTATTCAAACACCAACACACCAACTGGAGTCGACCTGTTCGTTTCTCAAAACAATTAGATCACGTTTCCTACGCATGCGATCTCCCAAAAATCTCCCGAGTTCAGCGAGCTTCGACTCGCCCCGAAGAATCCGGGCCCTTCTCTTTAAATGCAAAAGGCTTCCGACAAAAAAAAATCGGACCCCTGCTATTGAACCCAACGCCCCAACTGGTCGGGTTCCGTGCGGATCCCGACCAGGGAAGGTATACCTGTGTTGTCTGTTCGGGTCAGGTCCAATTTTCTTATACGGTACTTGGGAGATGGTGGGAGTCCAGGCATGTGCATAGGCATGCATGATCATGTGGGGGGAACTGTTTGTATGGTCTGATCATGTTTCGTTCATCATGACATGTCAAACAAAACAACTGTGATGGTCTTTGGCTACAGCATGGCGACTGCCAGCCTGGAGATCCTTTTGCTTCTATTGCTTTTGCAATAAATTTCTGGCGGCATGTTCTCCACTGTTTGATGCTGCACAAATCACAAGCACATTGCCCCACCTTCTTCAAAGCACCTCGTCGTAGGCCCTGAATCGCCTGCAAACGCAGCGACGAGAAAACCATTGGCATGCCATGCTTTGACTGTTGAAGACCAGCTTTCGAGTGACTGCATCGTTCACAAGTTTCCCTAAAAGATCTAGGAACCAAATCAATCATGCGATGGGTGTTTCAAGGGAAGGGTCCCCCCACCTCAGGCGGGGTAGTGAGCAAAGACTGCGTAGCGTTTCCTACTTAATAACTCCTTTAGCTACTACTCTTACCTCCCTATGAGTTATTTCTACTTGGTTCCTCTTGCTTACTTACATACTTACTTCATTTACTTGGCTACCACCTCTTTTCACGACCTGACCCCCCACCCAATTTAAACCCAAAGGAATCTTTAAAACTCCAAGGTCAGCTGCTGACCGTCAGCATTTGGCGAATCTTCGCACACCTGCACCAGGTCACTGCACTCCTAAGGGTCCCACACCCACCAGTGACACCAGCGCAGCGGCAGCCACAACCTGAGAGAAAATCAACACGATCAACCTGCGAAGGTTCCACGCCATAGGACTTATAGCCTCCCAGCGGATCAAGAGAAAATATCCCTAGGGATCCGTTGTCGTACCGAACCTCAGGTTCGGTACGACTGGACCCGACAACGGCACCTACATGTCGCGGTGTCTCCACACATCACCGTACCTGAGAAGGTACGACTGGATCCCTAGGGTATAACAAACCATCCAACAAACATGGTGACGTGGAACACGGCCCCACGTCTGAAAGACTGTTTTTAGAAACAGGCCGTTATCCACTTCCATGATTGTTGGAGAGAACTTAAAGTGGACCTGTATCTTGGAAAATTGGCCCCGGTCATACATGTGTTTGGTTTGGGTCATGGGTTATGTTCTATTTTCTAGGGTACAAACTGGAGGGTCCAGGTATATGGCTGGTGTCCAAAATGTATTTTCCCCAAATGATGCACTCTTCGCAATTCCATGGGGGCCCGCTTCTAAATTTCCTTTAAACTCCAACAACACTCAAACCGCAGGAATGTTAAACATGAAGGCATGTCAACTGCAAAAACTGTGAGAGGTGTCTAGCGCGGACCTTGATGGATTGTCAAACCTTTTCACATGGGGGGTCGAAATATCCTCAATAGTCTACATTAACCTGTTTCCACCTGTTTATGACAAAGGTTTTGCAGGTTATCCACTTTCCTGCGTATGAGGATGACCCCACAAAAAACTTGAACCTGGTCAAAGCGGTGAACGCTAAATGTTGACAGTTGATTCATAAGGCCCCCCATCGAGGAGATGTAAAAACCTTCTGGTAGAAGTGTTATATTCATCAACCATTCAGATCTATTAAGAGTCGATGTGATTTACTTCCGTTCAAGCGTAAATCCTTCTGGTTAGAATAATTGGTTTTATTCATCAACAGTCAACATGACAAACATGACAACAGGACGGGTGGATAACACTATGATTTCTTTGAAAGGGAAGGTCATACTGGTCAATCCGATCCCTGGATGATTCTATCATCCCAGTCACGCAAGAGGGATGTTAAACAACGTGCAAATGCTGGTTTTCTCACGACGAAACGCTGATGTCCAATCATTGAGTGGAACATAATTAAACAAGTTACGATCAAACGCCAGATGTCAAATAATGACTTCTAGACACGTCTAGGATCAAATGCTCATGATAGACCATTGATAGACCGTGTTTTCGTCAAGTGACCCAAGGGGCTACTTCGGTCACCTCCGCACTTGCCCACATCGCGTCTGCGCCAACGCCCAGCACTCGGGGGCGAGAGCGGGGTGCGCGAGGAGCGACTCCTGCGTGTGTGGAGCGACTGAGGAGCGACTCGGCTTCTGGATCGCTTTTGGAAGGACGAAACAGTAAGGGTGAACCCGGATGAAACCAGCCTAGTCGACTTATATTCGACTTATGGGTCTCCCGGCAACCCCTTGGGTGTCAGGTGTGTTTGAGCGGGACGGCACTCGGCCCGTGGAACAAAGATGACGGCTCTAAAGTTGTCGTGTGGCTCCAAGAAGTGTGCGCGGGTGTGTGCCAGGGTCATCCTGTCTGGGTGTCCAATAGACTACTCTGCCCTAGTTATAGGTCTCCATTGGGCACCCATTGGAAGTGCTAGGTGTGTGTGTGTGTGTGTTATTGTGCTTTTGTTTTGAGAGAGCACCACTCATATCTGTGGCCAGGGCTTGTTGACGAATATGTTGATGAATGAGGTGCTCTTAGATGTGCGCTTCCATGTGTGCTCTGTGTGCTGTCACATGTGTGTTGACTTATATATATGTTCTTTACAAGACTGTTGTATTGCCATGCAAACCATGGGGTGTCTGGTTGTGGAACGATGCTTTGCTGGATGAACAGAACATCTCCCTGTTAAATCAAGTTGGACAGGATTAGAGTATATCCATACTAGCGATGGCCTCCAACCTAAGAGCGATTGCCTCCAAGCTACTAGCGATGGCAACCTAATAGCGATTTCCATCCTCTACGACTCTACGACTTGGCCACTGTCGACTGCTTCATAGAGTTTCCATCCTCGAATCTGTCAAACAGCCTGGCTCCTGAGCCGTTTCGGTGGTAAAGGTTAACCTTGGGTCTGTCCTATTAATTACCTGTAACTAACAGTCAGCAAACAAGAACATCAATATTTTAGAGAAAGGCATTTACTAACGTTATAAATAACCATCATCATATATCGTTTGAATTATATATATATATGTTTTCACCTGCTTATTTTTTTGTGGGACTCATGTGCCGAATTCCCGACAAAACTGGATGACCTGCAGGTGCGCCAACGTACTTCCCGACTGGGGAGAATGTTAAGGAAAACGTGTGTTCCTCTTTGGATTCATATTTTGCAAGTGAGCCCATGCTCCCCCCAAGCTTGCGCTTGCAAGTGGCTTCCCACCCTGTTGTGATCGAGACACTTGTTTTTTCTCCGAAAGCCAAGACAAAACACACAAAATAACACAAAGATATGAAAAGACTGGAGATCTGCAAATACACCCACAATCACATCAACCGAACCTCAGATTGATCTCAACACAAACCAAGCCACTTTTCTACCCTTTTCACCGACGATCATCAGCTCCTGTAAAGGCCCAGGGCAAAGCACAAGGCAGAACCTCAGAAAGACAGGCTCAAAGCTTCTATATTCAACTGTGAGATTCTTGCCTTCAAGAATTATCAGCACGATGCAAAACCAAAACATGTTCGGAAATACCCCGACACGTCTCATCTTTTAAGGATTCCCATCTCCTTCAACAACTGCACGACAAACTCAGTACATGGCGGACAAACTCTAACGCATCCATGTACAGCACGACCACGAGTTCCACAAAGGTGACAATCGCCGGAAGCACCGAGAGCACCCCTGCTTACCCACGTGGGAATGTATCAGAATAGGGAGGCCCCTGTTTGACCCGGACGAGGGAATATATAGACCACAACCCATGGTGCATATTATGCATATATTGTAGGGATCCAGTCGAACCTTCTCAGGTACGGTGATTGGAGACACTGTAACCAAATAGCGATGGCCTCCAACCTAAGAGCGATGGCCTCCAACCTAAGAGCGA